CTGCTTGATAATTCAGACAGTGCACACGTTTGTGACCGCTGTATATCTCCTTCTGCAAGTTGATGCCGTCGTTGACAGTGGAAATTCGGCAGGTTTGAATCTTTGTGCCATCGATAAATCCAAAGACGCTGGCACACGGCGAACCTTTTCGATGGATTGCAGCACAGTAGCGATCGACGTTGCGTTGAAGGAGCTTGTAGTTGAAGTACAACAGGTGGTTCCAACGGTCGTATATTTCGTTTAGCACATGCAAAAACACATCGCAGAGCACTGGGCGGGAGCGGCCGAAAGTCCTGGCCATGTCGAACAGACGAGTCGGGAACGCCATGCGTGAAAGCAGGATGCAGATGGCCTCGTCGCGCAGCACTCGATTCCGTGCAGTCGTGATCACCACGGCCGGCAAGCCCAAGAGGAAACCCAACTGTTGAACCCCAGCGACGTCAAAGCGAAACTCGAGGAGGGCATTGGCATCGGACATGGCGTTGAGGTCAAAACGCACGTCCGGGATGAGTGGTCGTTCCACAACTTGCGCTGCAATGACTGCGGAAACGAAGCGCCGTTGTCGCTTGGTTTTGGCGTGGGCAAGCAGGAGGGCGAGGTCCTTCTGTGCGAGTACCATGTTTGAACACTGAGCTGCGGGACGATGCAGGTGTGAATCCGTACAATAACCGGATAAGTGTAGTGACTGGTCTGCAAAACCAAAATTTGACTGGTCAGTACACTGAAGCAAAAAAGCCGATTTTGGCATATTCTAGTGGCGTGGCAGTGAAGGGATGAGTTGCAAAATCTTTCTATTATATTGCTAACATATTGCAAAGTAGATTCCCCGATACTAGTACTAATATCAGAGAATGGCCCGAAACACCTTTCATGACAAAATTTATTAAATTACATATAAATGCTAGTGAATACGTTTCATATCGACAATAAAATTACAAGTCCCACTGTTTCGAAGTATAGTGTATTCAAGGCTAAATTAGGGCCATCTACTGATCTTTACAAAATTCAGACTTTGACCAGAAATAACTTGGTGAAGAATACATCAAATCCTTCAACGTTTGTTTGTATGATGTAGCACGTTCAATCCTCTATAACACCACAGTTGAAAGTTCGTCCAAATCGTCTTAGGTGTTGCGAAATCGTAAATTTGCGAAGGGGTCGATTTTCGGGCCATCTATTGGTTTTTTACGTTATCAAGATAACGTACATTGGATTCCCAACATAGTAACCATATTCCACCCTCACAATTCCATCAACATGATGATGCTGGGTCAGGTGCCGTGGCTCTTCCATGGAGCCACCATCATATTGGAGTACTACGTACTCATCCCCGTGATGGCTTGTTGCGCAGTTCTCAATCGCCCTTTGCGTTGAATGGGGAATGCTTCAATTGTATTTAGAATTGGTTTGGAAACACCATAATTGTGTTTTAAATTGGTTTTAAACTAGTTTCCATGGAAGGATGGTGCGGCTACTTGTGCTGTTTGACAAACTCGGTCTTGGACACGACGACGTTGTCGCCGTCCTTGAGCTCGTACACGTACGCGACGACTTTCGGGCCCTGGATGGCCATCAAGATGAAGCTTGGCACGACATCCCTACGCCCGTCATGATGAACATGGCAGATCTGAGGGAGATGGAGCGTTGGTTGGACGTACTGAGTGCATGTACTATATGCACCCGTGATGGAGCCGGGGTTGACAAACCACTTGCCGTGCTGAACGTGTAGATTGTACCTACATACATCAAACGAATGTATGACGTGGCACACCAACGGAGCACATCAAGACCAGGAGGTACTTACTGGTGGGTGTGTCCAGTGATCAAAATGTCCACGTTCAACTTGCGCTGCAACGCCGCGAGGCAGTCGACGTCTCCCCATGGAACGATCTACGTAAGGAGATGTAGTCGTCAAGAAGAAGTCGCATGTAGGTCGTACCTGGTGTCCATGACATAGTCCGATGCGAAACTGCCCGATCGTGATGACCTTCTTGTCGGGGTAGTTTGAGCTCTAGGCATCCCGTTCATGCATGATGCATGTGTCATAGATTAGAAGTCTCTACCTCGTCAAAGTCGCCACGCACAATGTGGACATTGGGTGCCAAGCCTCGCAGCTCGTCATACTGTTCCTTCGTAACCATGTTGCCCGTGCACAGGACATGCTGCATCTTGTTGGGCACAAGCATCTTCTTGAACTTCTCTGGGATGTCCACCGCGCGGTGGGGAATGTGCATGTCCCCCAGAACCAGTACGAGCTACGACGAGTGGTGTATGGGCATGAGTGTCATGGGGGGAGGTACCCACCTCGCCGAAGTCCGCCATGATGTCAAGGCCGGTTGGAAGATTTTACAAAGATTGCCACGCATGTTTATTGGCCATATTATATTGTAGAATCGATTTTGATTGGCTTAAAGTTAACCATTCATATTTATCCAATCATACGTTACCCACGACCCAACACAGTTACGATTCGTGAATAATTAGCCAATCATTTGTTCGCATCCGAAACGTCGCCAAACTGCAGAACATATTGTGTCATTCCTCAAGTCGAAGCGCCGCTCCATCATGTTCAGCACCAACAACGAAGAAATCGACTTCCTTGAGCGTCTGAGGAAGCGCGACCGTGAAAAGCTCAAGCTCAAGCAGAAAGGCCACCTGCCCGTGATGGATCGCGAGACGCTTGTCCAGCTGTGTGTGGACAACGACGGCTACGAGACGCCCGACCTCAACGACAACCTGTACGCTCGCATGAACTTGTCTCCATGCATCATGTCCATGGCTGCGTAGGTTTGCGCACTTTAAAGGGTTCCAGAAGATCGAAGGACTGGAACCGTTCTTCAATCTAAAGGCGCTGTGGCTGGAATCGAACGGCTTGAGTGTGATCGAAAACGTCGACTGCCTCGTGCACTTGCGTTGCTTGTACTTGAACAAGAACCGCATCGAGCGCATGGAGAACCTCCACGTACAACTAATCACCAACTAATCACACCAACTAATCACACCAACTAATAGGCCCTCACGGCCCTCACGACGCTCGACCTGAGTGAGAACGCCATCCACACCATCGAAGGCCTAGGCGCGCTGACCCAGCTCACGTCGTTCAACATCTCCAAGAACGAACTGGAGCACGTGGCAGACATCGAAGCGCTCAAGAACTACAAGTCGATCACCAACTTGGACTTGAGCCACAACAAGCTACGAGATCCGTCCATTTTGCACGTTTTCGAAGCCATGACCAACCTCAAAGCCCTTCGTCTCACTGGTATTGTCCTTTTTTACCCAAAATTTGGCTGACTTTTGTGCTGACTCGCCAAATCTATCAATCGATTATTCTTTATACTGAATTTTGTATGTAAACACGATGTCCTACACAACAATACTTGGGACCGTTCGTACAATATTAATTCTTATGGATTTCCCATGTGTATTTATCTTGTGATTACCAGGATGGCTTTGTCGTTTATGAGTGATAATTTGTATTAATACTAGTTAGTACCTGGGCGAATACTAGGGGGTTGGAGACGCTAGGTACTAAGTTAGTACAATTGGTTGATCCTGCATATAAAACGTTAGTTGAAGTATCATCTATGTGTTTGATCTATAGTACCGATCGTTACTCGTTAACAACTCCATGTTTATTGCTTGGTCAGGCAACGACGCCGTGTCCAAGACCAAGTACTTCCGCAAGACCTACATCACGACATTGCCGCAGCTGGGGTACTTGGACCGACCGATCTTTGCCATGGAGCGCCACACCGCGGCCGCGTGGAAGGAAGGCGGCGCCGCTGCCGAAGAAATCGCGCGACAGGCATTCATCCAGCACGAGGTATTATTATTATTATTATTCCTGCCGTCCCAACGCACAGATTTGGGGCAATATTGTCGATTTGATAGTACAAATTTGGGGAGGGGATCGCGCACTGATCCACAATCGATCTGATTGGTTGAATTTCATTAAGAAATGGGTTTTGATTTGCTAATCATTTTGAGCTCGTCTGAAGTAGCCAATCAAATCGATTTAAATTCCAACACCACAACACGAAATTTCACTCGAAAGCACAATATAATTCGTATTATTCAATGCCTCCAACACTTTTTTGTCCTTGCTGGATGTGCTGCAAATGTGTTTTACAATGCGTGGAATGCCATGTAGCACGACGAACGGCGGCGGTCGCTCCAAGAATTCCGCGACTGGCAAGCGGACATACGTGAGAAGAAGCTCGCCGAGCTGGCCGCGCCAAAAGAAGCTGGCGGTGGCGACGACGACAGCGAGAAGGCGACGCAACAAAGTCGGCGGATGGAGCAAGCGCGGGCCGACAGCGCCGCGGACAAGGCACTCGTGGCTGGCAATGGGATCGTGGCATTGGGGGCGGCATTTTGGGCCGAGGAAGACGCGAAACAGCGGCAGAAACAGCAAGTGAATGGGGCAACTGTGGAAGCCAAGGACGGGGCGGCGGCTGTGTTATCCGAGACTGAGCACCAAGTAACAGATGCGAACCCTCCAGAGGAGCAGGTGGTGGATGCGTTGAAGAGTCGCCCTGTTTACGAGACCGATTACATGCTCGACGTCCAAGACATTGCGCTGGACTGGGCCACCATCTCGGACGACGAGAAGGTGGTCATGGCAGAGGAGGAAGGGTTTACATCGGACATTATGGCGTCCGAAGCGCCGTACCGACCGTCAGCTCTTCAACATACAGCGCCGCACTCGTTGTTTGCGACATCTGCCGCCTCGTTGCCGCCGCCGCCACCGCCATCGACAGTGGAAAGGGACACATGGGAGTCGTTGCAGCGCAAGGCGGGTACTGCAGCCTTCGCTTCGCTTCTTCCACCCCAACACCTGCCCTCGGCTTATGTACGTACGTACGTTAGCATTGTAGTAGTAGTAGTTAGTAGTCGTTACTAGGTAGTAGTTTTATTGGTTTTTTGGAGGAAGTACTCACTGTGGCGGATCTAGTCGAACGACAACTCGACCAACGACGACGACGACGACCAAGTGCCTGTGACCCGCGACGGATTGTGGCGGCAACTGACGCGCTTTACAAATGTGTCGCAGCTCGATTAACATACTACTACGTAGTACTACTTATACTAGTAGTACATGTAGTAGTTGGCATTTACTGTAAATTCAATCACAAGGCAATTTAAATGTGTGGAATTGAAGTAAGCTTCCAGTACTTATGGTGCACGTCCAAGTTTTCGTTCTGGAGGGTGAGGGAAATGGTCATATTGGAACGAACTAGATGGAGCTGATGCCTATATTCGCAATGTTACACGATCAGATTAGTTCTTACTTCGCCTGATTGTTGACAGAAACCTTCGTCGTCGCATTTGCGCTGGTGATTTGGTCGTCGACAACCTTGCTCCATGGAACCGCACTTTTCTTCGAAACAAGAAACCTAGCGTGAATAGAATTTTTAAAAGCAACATATTAAAACGCCCAAACGTACGATATGGATGCAAATACGACTCCTGATTGGCTAAAACGTGAATTTTTCCGGATAACACAACTTCAAAAGCAGGGACGCCTGAGTTATTTCCTGCTTCCGTGCACGTTTTCGATTGAAATTAATAAATACTTTTGATATATTTTCAAAATCCTCGAAAATAGTTCGGATAATATCCCTGCCTTAGGGACATCGATATAGGGACCCCCCGTTGGAGATGCTTTTAAAGCTTGGACGGTTTTTCACAGACCAGCCCCATACGATATGTTCTCCATTGGACTTGAAGCTTCGACAAAACGCAGTGAGTGCATAAAGGGCCTCATGACGAGGTCATGAGTGATACAACTTACTGAATCTTGTAGGGCAACGCCATCCTCGCTTGTGTCAGCGTCGCGTACTCACCGACCTCCATCGTCATTCAACGACGCAAAGCAAGCTACGCTTTGATCTTGGCCTTCAACGAACTAAAGCAACCGTCGAAAGGATTGCACATAGGCGAATACGGCGCAAGCCGTAGGAGGACAACTCTGTTCTCCGTTTGCGAGTGGCAAGAAGCATTGTCGAAGTCTATGACGATCTTCTTTCCGGCATAGGTACGTTGGACTGACGGCATCTCATCCTTCACGCTTTGGTAGATGGTCTCGACAAAGTTTGCATCCTTCTTCATGCAAATGCTGCACGTTGGACTTTGTGGACGATTAAACCGTCGGGCCAAGACACGGCGCATTGCATTTGGACATTTGGTCCTTTTGACGCAGGCATCTTTTAGACAACGCGCTGATCACGAATGGGACGTCTCTGCGACCGCTTGCAGGAGATATTGGGGTTTACGTTTCGTGGCATATGGTAATGATCATATGTTATGTTTATCCATATTCTCACGTCGAATTGTAATGATCATATATTATATCTATCCATATTCTCACGTCAAATTGTAGTGACGATTATGGATGTTAACTGTGAGGTGGCTCCACACAGCAACATTCCGCTCATTCGGTGATCATTATGAAGCACTATTCCATGCACGGCTTGCGACAACAAGGTAGTGATCATTGGTATGCACAAGTGTCACATATTCAGTTGTAGTGATCTTGACGCCAATAGAGTTGACTGTGAGGTGACCCCCCACAGCTCACTAGTGCGTCTAGTAACAACGACATGCCGCTGTACACGATGATGCGAACCGGTGGGGAACTCCATAGGGAGTGAACCGGGGATGGTTCGGGCCGGTTCGTTCATATACGTGTCACATTTCGACAACGTTATGCAACGTTATAACCATGTATGCTTCACGTGTATATTTTCATTTCTTGCGTTTGTCAATGTATCAATATCATCCATGTAGGCTGAACACTTTGGAGTTATGAGCACCTGCCCCCCCTGTGCCGAATGGCAATATGTATGGATATTTTGACCTGTCGACTGTGAGGTGACACCACACAGCGGCCGTTCAGGAAGTAGTCATCCATGAAGCGAACCGGAGGGACACCCGTGGGGAGTGAACAGGGGGTGGTCCGGGCCGGTTCGTTCATGTATCAGACCGTATGGACCACGTTATTCGACGGGGAATTGTGACGTGAGTCACAATTGGTTTACTGTTAGGTATATCTTGCATGTATTGCTGTATTTATATGATTTGATGTCGACCAGTGGAGGGGCAACCTCCTCTGGACGGCGTGGTATTGTTTATATATTGTAGCAGCGCATTGACAGCTTCCCTTTTGCCCCGGGGCGCATGACGCTTTGTCACAGTTGTGGAGGCTCCTGGTTTGCCTGTGAGGTAGATATGGACGTGAAAGCAGACAGGTTTGTGCAAGATATATAGATTTGTGATTTGTGTTTACAGTTGGTTCATTTTGTCCATGCTAACTTTGGTTGCCCTGTAGGAGGCGCAAACCAAGGAGGAAGCGGAGTTTCTCAAACGCAGTTTGCCAGTTTGTATTACTCCTTTGGTGAGGATGCCGGCAATCTGGTTTTTTGTGTTGATGTATTGTAGGGTCAGCGTGCCATCGGTCACCAAGTCTTGGATGAAGTGGAACCGAAGCCGGATATGCGTGGTGCGCCCGTGTGCGGAGGTGCGTTTGGCAACTTGAGTGACGCTTTGATTGTCGACCCACAGTGGTGTAGATGATGAGGCTGGTTCACGTAGGAGTTCGAGCAGCCAGACAATGCTCTTCGCGGCTTCGGCTGCCGCGATGAATTCGACTTCCGTCGTGCTTTGGCCGACCAAGCTTTGCTTGCGAGACATGTAGACCGCAGCGGCACCAGCGAGCATGATGACGAAGCCGGTAATGGATTTGCTGTCGTTGTTGTCATTTGCAAAGTCAGCGTCACAGTATGCGATAGTAGTGCTGGGAATGCGCCCGTCGTAGTGCAAGCCCAAGGTTGACGTCCCAGACAGGTACTTGAGGACACGTTTGGCAAGGCGCCAATGGGTCTGCGTGTGGCCGTGATTGTGTGATGCTAGGTATAATACTGCGTTTGCGATGTCCGGCCTTGTCGCTGATACCAGATACCGTAGCGCTCCGACAAGGCTTTGGTACGGGACGTCGCGGGTGTCGGGCGCTTCAATAGTCCGGACACCTTGTGCTTGAGGAGTTGGAGACGGATGGCAGCCTGCCATGTTGAAGCGAGCAAGTAAGTCTTGAACAAAAAGGTGTTGGTGCATGTGCAGGATACGCGCTTGGCAGTCCCGTTGAATCTTGATGCCCAGTAGGAAGTCCAGCTCACCCTTGTCGGTTGTCGCAAATTGCCCTTCGATGCATGTTTTCAGGCGCGCAAGTGCCGCGGCGTCCTTCCCGACCAGTGTTATGTCATCCACGTACACGGCAAAGCCGAAACTGCGTTGTCGGCATCGCGTAGGACATAGATGCATTGATCCTTCTAGCATCGCTTGAAGCCGAGTGTGCAGAGAAAAACGTCGAGTTTCTTGTGCCATTGTCGCGTTGCTTGTTTGAGGTCGTACAGCGCTTTCTTCAGTAGGCAGACTTTGCCTTCCTCTCCAGGTACTTCAAACCCTTGAGGCTGCACCATGTAGATTGTCTCATCCAATTCTCCGTTGAGAAATGCAGTCTTGATGTCCAACTGAACAGTCTCCAAGTCCAGCGTTGCGATGATTGAACACACGACACGTAGGGAGTCAAGGCGCACGACTGGAGCAAAGGTGTCAGTGAAGGCGACCCCTGCGATTTGGAGAAACCCCTTGATGACGAGGCGGGCTTTGAAGCGCTCGATCTCGCCAGTCGACAGGTACTTCACTTTCCAGACCCACTTGGACTTCAGAGGAGTACAGAAACTCTGCACACAAGAATTAGGGAATCACAGGTAGAAAATGGGGAATCATATGAAACTGTAACGTTACAAATACTATACAAGGTAATTTGGTCCTCCACAGGCCTCGTCTGGGAGCGGCATGGCCTGCGGCCTACCTGCCGCTTTCCCGAGAGAGGAATCGATTGGACATTCGGTGAAGTGCACGATTGGGGCTCACTCCTCGCCAAGGCACCGCCTGCACAAAATTATACACACGACCTCCGCTGCGCTGCGGTGCGCGCAATTTTGTGGGCGGATGCTCTGTCGTCGCTCGCTGCTGTAACGCTAGGTCAATTCCCTTGTGTTTTGATACACGTGTGTGTCCCCCAGATTTCTACCTGTGATTCCCTAATTCTTGTGTGCATGAACATTTGACTCACTTCAGAGCCTTGCGTCCCTTGGGTAGGTCAGTCAACACCCACACATCGTTGGCTAATAGGGAGGCGTGTTCAGCGGCCATGGCATCTTCCCATTCTGTTCTGTGCGTGTTTGTTGCCAGGTCCGCCACGGTCAACGGCTCGATTGGGCGACGGGGCACAACTGCCTGCACTGCTGCAACAGTCGCAAAGCACTGTGGAGCCTTGATTGTACGTTTGCTTCGCTTCATAAGGGGTTCGTCTGATGCAGGCCTTGTGCGAGTAGCAGGTGCTGACGTGTCGTCGGGGTCAACAAATCGGGCAAATTTGAGATCATTAGCCGACGTGATTCCTGCGATCACGTTGGACTGAGGTACACGTAGGCGGCCATGGGCAAAATCAGCATTGGCAAACATGTCGGCATTGCGAACTTTCGACTCGTCAAACGTAACTGAGCGTGACACAGTGACGGTCTTGTCCTTAGGGTTCCAGAGCTTGTATCCAAGGCGGTCGTGTGCGTAGCCAAGGAAGACACATGGTACGGCAGAGTTTGAGAGTTTTCCTTTGCGTTGTGACTTTGGAATGAACTTGTAGGCCAGACATCTAACGGCCTTGAGCATGTACAAACGGCTGGGCTTTGAGAACAGGGCTTCAAAGGGCGTTCGTTGGTTGAGCAGTTCTTGCGGGGTATTGTTGTACACGAAGACAACGTAATCTAATAAGTATCCCCACAGGGTTGAGGGAAGGCCGCTGATGGTGAGGTACGTCCGTATCTGTTTGAACACAAACTCGTTGGCCTTCTCGGCCAGGTGGTTTTCTTCAGGTGTCTCGACATTCGCAAACTTCTGGCGGATGCCTCGGGGCAAGGCAGGCAGCTTTGAACGCGGAGCTTGTGTACTCCCCACCCCCATTGGTATGCAACATACGAACACAGGTATGTGGGAGTTGCGAGTTGAGGTCGCTCACCAGTGCATCGACATGTAGGATGGTGTCATCCTTTGTCTGGAGTAGCTTGCCGAAGATATGGCGGGACGCTTGGTCTATGAACATGCTGGTGAACAATTCGTGATTCGTGACCGTACGTGGTTTGACTGGGCCGCATAGGTCGCCATTCAGGCACTCAAGTGGATCGGCGGGGACGTAGGGGTGTGTGTTGCGGAGCGATACGCGTTTCGCTTGACCTTGGGCGCCCCCATCGCAGATGTGGTTGGTCATGGAGCTGTCAATGCCAGGTAACAGGATTGGCTGGATAATCTTTGCCACTTGTCGCATGTCCGTGTGATTGAGCTTCTTGTGCCAGTTGCGAAGCTTGACATCCGAAGGAGGATCGAGGGCCATGTCGGTCGCCAGTGTTGTGGCGTTGATGCGTTCGACTGCTGCCCTCGGGGCCACGTCTTGGAGGACGTAAAGGCTGTCAGACATTGCGAAGTGCAGCTCATGGCCATTGAACCGGTCCACGTAAGTTGTCTTTTTCAGATCTTGATGGGCAAGCTGGTAGCCACTGCGAAGCAGACGGACGTGAGAGATGAGGTTCTTGTAGATTGTCGGTTCATATGTGATATCGTGCAGCTTCAACGTGGCATGCTCTCCCTTGCGTAAGATATGGATCTTGGCCGTCCCTCGACGTCCCTTGACAACCGCTTGGTTGGGTAGGATCAAGCCGGACGTCCCCTTCCACGAGTGCATGAAGTGATGGTTGCCGGTGACGTGGCCCGTGGCGCAGTTATCCAAGGTCCAATAATTCTCCATGACTCGCCTGGTGTCGCCCACAGTCACAGAATTGACATGGTATTGCGCAGCGTCGGAATAAGAGCTGCCATCCGAGGTAGGACGTAGGCGAGGTTTCCCGCCATGTGTCCCACGTTGCGATTGTTTACCCCACCGGCTCTTTTGTTGACATAGTTGGGGTCGTATCCCGGGTGCCCCTTTGCTTCGTGATCTCCTTTCTTCTTGCAGATGTAGCACCAAAGGAGGCCGTCGCCAGTCTAGCGTCGCTTGTCGCTCAGCTCTGTCAATCGCGTTTGTAGTGCGTTGATCTCCAGCGTCATGTCCTCAATGCCTTCGCCTCTAACCGTTCTTCCGGATAACCACAGCCAATCATACCCCAAAGCGATGAAATTCCGGATACAATCCACCAATCATTCAACTGTATCCATTTCCAGTAGGTGCGTTTGACGTTCCGCGTCCCTTGGGCGATCGTGGCCATCGTCATTTCGATTGCATCGATTCCTTTCACGGCGCGTTTCTTCTTCGTTTAGCAGGGCACTGGTAAGAGCTTTGAGTTTGACTGTATGGCCAGGGGTTGGCTTGAGATGATGGATGAAGGAGTTGTAGTTGTCCGGACCGGAGTCGGGCAAGGAGATCAACAGCCACTCAACTACTTCCCGACTCCGTCATTGCTTTGCCCATGTCAACCAGCTCGCGGATCGTGGCTCATACTCTAGTGATGTGCTTGAGCATGTCTGTTTTCGGATCGTAGCGCAGGCTGCAAAGCCGGCGCAGGACGTAGATAGTATTTGACATTTCTTTGTCTCGTAGTTCGACACCAGCGTACGCCACATTCCGTTGGGGTGCTATCTTCGCGGATCATATCGAAGACTTCATTGGAGAGCGAGGTATGAAGGTACGACTAGGCCAGGTTGGTTTTGTCCTCGTACTCGAACGCTTCGACTTCCGCGGCGTCGTCAGGTAAGATATAACTCCCGTCAACAATCTCCCAGATGTGGCGCAGTTGACAGACGGTTTGGAATTTCACCTTGAAGGCCGAGATGTACTTTCCGTTGAACTTGACCTTTCGCAGCATGTCCTTGGTCTCCGACTCAACAGCCCACAATCCATTGGGCTTGGCCGATTCCGTAGGTTGAGCGTGAAGGTCGTTGATTTCTTGTTTATGCGCAAGGAGCATTAACTTGAGTTGTTTGAGCACTGCCATAGCATAGGCGTTCAAGTCCGTCGCAGGGGTCACTTTGGGGGGGTGCTAGCTGTTCAGTGTCACTGTCGTCGGCGTTCGAACGAGGGGGCTGAGGGAGAAGATCGATATCCCCGACATCAGGTTGGGTTGGCATGGTCTTGGACTGGGACGACATTGGTTTCGGAGCTTGAGGCTGTTAACCTTACAGAAGGCCTAGCGTAGGTATAACGAAGGTAAATTCAATTATATGGCCGTAGTAGGCATTACTCAAGAGGCAAGACCTACTGCTGCCATTGGGTGTGGCGGTTAACCGGAAAACCGGATATTGTTCCTCTGTTAGTTACCGGAGTAGAAAGACGCATACTGCCACTTTGAGGCAGGTCGCTGCATACAATTCGATTGCCACCAGTCTTCGATGAACGACAAGTCTGCAACTTCATCTGTCTTGGTTATTATGTTTATGCTTGCAGTAGCGTCGACTTCTGGGTTTGGGCCAGCGTAGACGCCATTGCGCTTTGCTTGAGTTCGCGCAACGTTTGAGCGACGTGTTCGACGCCCCATGTGCTCACTTCGTGTCAAATGCTGGTTCAAGTGACATGTCCGGATAAAGTACGGTGGATTCGGATAAATTCCAATACAAATGTCCGGGTAAAGTACGGTGGATGTCGGATAAATTCCGATACAAATGTTAAGTGTATAGGCATCGTTCACCCCTATGGCCAAATTTTCAGCTGCCAGCTAATATTTCTAAACTATCATATCCTATTTCGCATTCATGTTTTCTCGAAATGAAAATTTGAGATGTAGGATCTCTTTGTCTTGTCGAGATCTATCGATTCTATTTTGTCGATTAAGAATCCGATATTTGTGTTCGATTGACAAAAGTATAAACCGGATTAATGTGTAAGCATCCGGATTCTGGAAACCATCGATTTTGATGGTTTCTTGGAGTATTCTGCTTCTCAGAAATAAATTGTATTCATGTACTCGGAGTTTGGGGTTTCCGGGGTTTCGGGGTGTTTAATCTATTCTCCGAGTTCGGATAGTGATGAAAGGAACGTCGCAGCCGTGACCCCATGTGACCTAGTGGTCCATCGCATGGTGCTTTTCGCCAACTATTTAACCAGTTAAAACCGTATTCATCTTCGTGGGAGATGAATTATGTTCCTGCAGCGCAAAATGGGCTCCGCTCTCGCTGGGGCAAAAACTGATGTATATGCAACTGACAAAAACTACGTTAACTTAGATACAAAGTTACCTGTATCTCATCCTTGTACAAGTCAGTACCAATATACTTGTATCTCATCCTTGCATAACTCAATGTGTTCGTCAAAAACCCCTACGAAGTCGCTGCAACATCGAATGGACCTTGAGTGATGAAGTGGGTATCTTGCCCTCCAGTAAAGTTATATGATATGTAGTGACATGTACATCTTCGTCAATGATCACGCTATAATCGCGCACTAAACTTGCAGCCGAACGCATAGTATTCTGTAAACCCGCGCGACCGCCGCCAAGAAAGCCGGCGTTTATAGTCACGGGGCAATTATCCGTACTCTGAAATTTCGGATAATGGGAATTCGTCGCAGGTTGCCCAAGTTCAAATATTAGAGTGGATTATTATAAAAAGTTACGGGTATCAGAGAACAAAGGGAAACGTTATAAAATATCTCATACAAATGGTAAGATAATACATTGTCTACAACTAATAGTCTGCGAGGGCATCGAGGGAACCAGGGCTACCTCTTGAAAAATTATAACTATATTACAGAGGCAAAATTAAATTGATTTTCTGCTTCACTTGTGGATATTGCATTCGAAATATAATAAAAATATTGTAATCTCATTTCATAATGGATATCGTGTTTCACAAGTTATTATAGTTCATGAATGATTTTCTTGTAAATTTTGGACCAAAACAAATCGTATTGTGAGAGATATGTCATTCCGGAGTGCAGTGGACACTGCATGTGAAAGTGCATGTTCAGACGAATCCGAGCCTTCAGAAATCGAGGAAATTGACCTAGCCAATCCCAACATACGAGCAGAAGTTCCCTCGATACCCTCGGGGACTGTAAACAATTTCAGGTCATCTACAGCGCAAATATCCTGTGCTGGATCAATTGTCTCCTCGACGGCAAAGTCTGCCATCAAATCAGCAATGTCGCCGTCGTCAAGACTGTCCTCCGTCACAAACACCTCAACGGTAGCACAGTCAATGAGCTTGCACTTACGGAACCCATTCAAAATCACGCTTACAGGTACTTCGTTCCATGCCCCAGTGATCCACTGAACCATTGTAGATCTCGATGGACCCGCGAGCTTGAGGTTCTGGTTGGCAGCCTTGCTGTTTCGGAGCTGGCGCCAAATTTCCACAAGCCAACGATCGCGCAGGTTTGTCTTCAGAGAACGAATCCACGCGACAACCGCAGGTTGACAGCACGAGGTAAAACGCGGTTGCACACGCTCTAGAATGATGTAGATGGACTCCGCGAAGTGCGCACTGAAGTTGTAACACAAGAGGTTCACCCTCTTGCCGCCTTCTCGCCGCGAGAAATGGCACTCGAGGAAGGCCAACAACAGGCCCGCGTTCCACCAAACCGTTGGATTTCCGAAGATCCGGCAGCCATGACGCTCCTGCAAGTGGCTCAACGGCGCCCCACACTTGACGTCCGAATCCTTGGCGCATGGTAAGATATCTCCTTGATCGTGGACCTTTTCGACTTCATGACCAGGTACAGTGGGTGCTTCTTTCCAGTCGTGTCCGCCGGCTGCATTACAGTCGCGCGCTCCTTGGGTTTCCCACCGCACTTGACCGACACGGTGTTGTCCTTCGTGGGGTCTTCGATGGAAGTTACTTGTAGTTCACAGCAGCTGTCTATGGTTGAGCTCGTCTTAGCGCGGAGTGACAGGCCATGGCGGTGCTTGAAGCCTTGAGTCCAATGCCAACCAGCCTTGAACTTGTCTTCGGTAAGGCCCACGTCAATCGCTGTTTCCATTGTCATGACACAAAGCATGTGTCATGTGAAAAGCATGTGGTAGGTAACAGGTATACCGTCCAATGGATGTGATCCTTCTGTTTAATCCATCCATACACCTTCTTTCTAGTCGTGTCGCGTTTGAGTGGGAGTGGAGTTGACGCAGTAGCTGTCTACAAAGCAGACATCCCAACCTCGGCGACGCGGTGAATGGCATTCACTGTCAATTGGTGTTGGTAGTCGACCGTCTTGTTCTTGAAGTGGCGCACGTGAGCTTTCTTGCCGTATTTGAATGGCGGTCGTCCTGTGCGACGCTTTGGCACCTACTCATCGTGGACGTCGGCTATGGTTGTCGATTGACGTGTCAAAAAGCGGAGCACATGCTTTGGCGGCAAAAATACCTCCGAAAAATATGTCCTCTACAAATGAGTACATTACTAGGCAATGGAGGTAATATGCATTATAAGAGGGATTGAGGAGGAATCAAACAGTTGCTATTTTGGCACTATCCGGACTTTTTAGGAATTACGTCACCTAGAATTTCTATTTTCGCGTGAAATATGGTGCACGTCATCTATAAACTACCAACTTTTCACAAAATTTTCTGACTTTTATTTCATATTCATTACTCAAAATTGCAGCAAATTGAGACGTATAATCGACAGATCTCAATGTGGTGAAGAAATTCTACGTCTCAGATTCAAATTTGGTGATGAATTGGTCCAGAAATAGATATTTAACCTAGCGGTATTTTACATGGGCGCTTGGATATTTGGCCATAGGGGTGGCCGCTCAAATGTATCTTGATTTTTGTATGTGACTCTTATCCGTATTTAATATCCGGAGGCAGTTGGGACCTTTAACCTCCCACTCCAGTGATAAAACGCATGAAATCGGTATTTAACGTATCTGGATTTTGGGTTTAACTACATTAATTGCACGTTAAATAATAAAACCTCCACTCTTCAATTTGGCCAGTTGGAAGTTTTTAGATGAAGTGCACCATAGCAACAAACCCTTCGGATAGTGCAAGAGTTTCTATTCTACATTCGTAACTTCGAATTTTTAATAATTTGCCGAAATTTAGACTTGCTTAACTGTGAGCTTATATACCGGTTGACTTGAGTAACGTGTTTCATGAAAACATGAGACGTAGTACTCATGTTTGCATGATAACCCGAGACTATATACGAATAGGCAGTGGTAAACTGTGTCGGCGCTCACGCTGCCGTGTCGCCGCGACTTTCAGTTCCTGCTGTTCATTTCCCAGACTCAAGGAAATACTGTTTGATTAGCTGAATTTAGGTATTTTTGGCGAATCAAAGTCGTGAGGTGGATTTATTGCCACTTGACGTCAACGGGTAACACCAATTCACAATAAGAAGTACCATATAAGGTAATCCATCAATATCGCGAACGCCATCAATAGCCAAAGGATCAGGACACCACCTTGAAGTTCAAAACTATGTTCATTTTTAATACCTAGTAGAAATTTCATGAATTCAATTCTACATTAACTGTAAATTTGAAGGCATTATACTAAGAAACAAGTTCGCGAACGGTTGTCATTGTATCCAATCCAATGGCTTCATTCTGTAATGAGGAGTTTTCTTAGGATATGATTATATTCATGGATAAACTAAAACGCGTCACGACACCCAGGTATTACATATTGTAAATTAATATTCCATACATACAAAACTAAGATATTTCGACCGTTCTCGAAATACAAAGCCAAAAATGTTTCACCAATTCTTAACGTTACGTTATAATTCCAAAATACAAATCGATTATTGGGATATTTCAGTTGTCACTAAAAAATACAACTGGATTTATATTTTCCAATGCTACCATTATTTTTTTTTTTATTCGAGGGATTTTTTGTGGTGGAGTGCTTCAAACATACGACATTTTAGTGCACAAAAAGCGTTCGCGATATTGATGGATTACAGGCTATGGTCATATAAATAAGGACACTTCAAACCGATTGTATTGCTATTTTAAACTAACGCGTACAAAGAGCACAACAATCGGACGAGATCATCACAACAACAAACACTTAGCAGTGGTCATCGGCCACCGCGTCCTTGGGCAACAAGTTCTGAGACTTCAAGAGGGCGACGATTTTGGTCATCTTGTTGCCGGTGTTTTGACCAGTAATTTGGCACCCCCCGCAGTTGTGCAACGCCACGACCTTGTTGTCGTGGGCGCCCAAGATGGGGGAACCAGAATTTCCGCCTTCGGTGTCGACGTTGTACCCCAACGTGTCTTGCTCACGGCATAGGGATTTCGCGGACGTGTTCGTGATGCGAGCATGCGTGCCGTCGTCATTCAAGAACGCAATGCGTTTCGGTTTACCACGGGGGTGACCCAGAATGTAGATTTGATCGTCCAACGTGACGTTCGCGGCGCGGGATTGCAAGTACCCGTACTGGGTCAAGTTCACACCGGGGTTCAAGTTCAACTTGAGCACCGACACGTCCAATGATTTGTCCGTAAACACAAGCGTGGTGCTGTTGGCGACAAACGTTCCAACACAGGCACCTCTGATATCATTGTTGGGGTCGGCGCAAGTCGAGCACTCGGAGCCAAACTCGACTCGGGTCCGGTTAGCTACGGTCGCGTTCGGGACGCAGTGGTTGTTTGTGACCAAGTGGCCTTCCGACCCCCACAGCCACGCCGTGCAGTAGGTCCCGGTGCGAATACGAGCCACAGCTTGGGCAAGTTGGTACTTGATGGGCTGGGCGTCGTTCAAACAGCGGGTTGCTTGAGCTTGGTCAGCAAGGCAAATCGACGTGATGTCTTCATAGAAGTCAAAAATGCCCTCAGCGGATGCCGTGGCCACAAGAGCAAGGACTGCAGCAGCTTTGAAGGTCGAGAACATGTTGGCCACCGGGGAAATTCAAAAATGGGAAACACGACCTTGGGAGTTTTGTGAATCGATTGAACTGACCCAAAGGGCCGGCCACTGACATTTGCGTCCATGTTGAAGCGTTTAAGTATTCTCTAAATGCATGTCGATTCGCTTGGATCTGTACTACTGGTACTAGTAGTACTCTAGGACGTCCATGTGATACATCTGGTACTAGTAGTACTCTAGGACGTCCATGTGATACATCCATCAACTGATATATACATATGATCCATGATTCGTAAACTGAAAACTGTTGACCTCGGCAATGAAACCCTTGTTGAGTTAATATTTCTCCATGAATTATGTTATAGAGTTTTAATCTTATTCGGAGGCAGTGCAATTTGAATGATCAACGTTCTCGGAGCAAATTACATGCTCGAGTGAATGGCAGGCGTGCCTTCGACCCCGATGTTCGTTCGCCCATGGCGAAGGTGTTGTCCGGTGTTGTACGCAAACATACAAGGGAAATACTACTACGTACAGTAAGTAGTTTGGGGCTTGATGATGACGTTTTGCTCCATCTGCATCTTGGCAATCAATTGTTCGACATAATGGGACCTGCAATATCCGAAATTATCCATGTGAATGTTGTGCATTCACAGCATACTGTGTACACACATTGTCACTGTTGTACTTGAAGTATCATATCGGTATTATTAATCGTACTACGTAGTTGTCTTCTCTTTGACGCAGTGCTAGCGGGGCGTACAGCAATTGCTCACATTTCATACAACAAATCAAAGGGGTGCTTTGGGTTTTTACACGACTGTTTGCAGTCTCCTCTGTGTTGGGGTAGAGATTTTGGTGTTCGCAGTCTCCTCTGTTCTTTTTTTGTTTTTGGGTGAATGCTTTGGACGATCAAGCAGTTTTTGTGTGTAATCCATACTTTAATCAAGTACTACGTAGTATAATGATAATCAAGTGTAATGTCCCCCTTTACGAAACAATTTACGAAACACAGTAGTTTTGTATAGTAATGAAAGCTAATTAAAACCATCATTCATACAGTGCTGAACAGCAAAATTAGCGGAGAGTTGCATCTCGTCATAAAATAAAATTTCAAAAAGTACCGAAGTGAGGTGCAAACTTTATTGGCCAAAATACCAAGGAATAACTAGCGTGTCAAGCGATGTGATTGGCGCATTTGAATTTGTACATTCGCACGCATTGAGTTACTTTACCGCTTATGGCTGCTGAGATCTGCCTAGATGACATTCCTTTGCGTGTGGCGAGTCGGAAAATTCGTCGAACGTCTCGTCGCGTCAGTTTCGTGCGCCGTCCAGGTCTCTTAGGATTTGGGGATTGCTTGAGCTTCGCAACATACGTCCGGACTAGTTTATCGCTGCGTCCCAACGCATTGGCGATCCAACGGAGCGACTTGTTAACCTCCAAATATGCCTGTATTTGGCCTTTTTCGTGGTCGGTAATCGTTTTTCCTCGAGGCATCGTCCGATTCTTGGTTATGTGTGTGGTGAAGTCATCGGTGTGTCCCACAAGTGTTCGTAAGCATTTTGATTACTTTAAAGATCTCTGATTGGCTTAAAAAGAATCCGTAAATGTCGAATCATATAGTGCGTCTATAGTTATGACTCACTCAAAAATTTGAAATTTAGATATTTCTTGTGATCGACACACAAATGAAAGAAATCCTTTTGTGGAGTTCCTAGAATTACATTTTCAAGGATGTTGGCATTGATCATTTCGGATAAAAGGATATTTTTGGATGAGAAACTCCAAAATTTTGGGGTGCGTCTATAGTTTTGTCTCGGACTGTACATGCCATTCAAAATGACCTCTGGCACAAAACGAGGCCAATACCGACGTTAAACATCCGCGACCAAAAGTGACTTCTCACCGCATTCAGAGAGGGGACCAGCAAGGACGAAGCCACGTTTTACCGTGAGCATTTGATACCCGAAGGGACCTGGCGAGGATGGCGTCAAAAGGAGTCGGCCATCTAGTCGACCAAACGTCACGGCAGTCGCGGTTCCCTCCCCCGGGTGGCCAGGCAGGCAAACTGATCCTTCCGTTTGCCGACGACCTGCTCGCGTACGTACGAGAACGCCGCCGTGGGGAAATGCATGTTCGTGACTTCCACCTGATGCGGTGGATCCGGCGCAATTACTTCGAGTGGATCACTATCTACCTCGAATCGAAGTCGTCCAAATCAACGGGATACGACTCTCTCAGCCGTCTTCTCCAGCGCTTCTGCACCCAACATCACCTGTCCCAACGAGTCTCAAGTGTATCCAAAGTTCGACAAGAAGTTCTCGACGTTGTCTGGCTTGGCTACGCTGCGCACTTGTGGTTGAAGTCCTCTGATCTCCTGGACGCGCATGAAACAGGTGTCTACTTCGACATGCCACCAGGCAAGACGTACGCTGAGGTGGGCAAGTCATCGAAGGTGGGCAAGTCAAGCAAGGACTCCTAGAGGTTCACTGTCGTCCTAACGGATGGTACGTGGTAGAGTTGATCTTACCTAGCTGATGGTGAGTAGGTGTCAAGCTTCCATTGATCTTCATCGTGAAGGGGCAACTAGGTGATTTTATTGAGACCAAGGAACTGCTTGGCTATTCATCGTCACACGTCTACACCGTCCAAAAGAACGCAAGGATGGACGATAGGGATTGGATGATCTACTTCGAAGAGTTGCTGGCTTGAAATGTTGAAGACGCGTTGGTCCTACTTGTGGACAATTTGAATTGTCACACGTCGGAGAAGGCGCACGACAAGGTAGCAGAGGCCATGTTTAGTGTCATCGAGCCCCTACCTCCCAACTCAACCAGCCGCTGCCAGCCGTTGGACCTCGGGGTTATGGGCCCCTTGAAGGCGATGTTGAAGACGGAGTGGCTCGTGGAAGAGGACGATCAAGAGTGCGACACTTTGACAGCTGAACAGAAGCGTGCGGCAACAATTCATCGGACAATTCGTGTTTGGAACAAAGTATCTACTGATACTGTGAAGAAGACATTTGTGAAGTCGATACCATCAGTAATTAAATTGTAGTGTGATTGTTATTGTGTTCGTTTGGCGTGTTGAAGTCGGTAGGTGGGTTTTCGGTGTAAACCCCCCTCCTGAATTCGAATATGTTGTCGAAATCTCGATCCGACATCATTCGCTCGAAATTGCGAAATGACAATAGACCTTAGTAACAGTTAGTGCGTTCATGATCTGAGACAAATCGCAATTGTACAGAACCATACAGAATTCCAATATACTACGTAGTAACTCATCACTTGTTGATAGACTTAAAGAACTGATCAATTACATGGTGTCTGATTTGATGTATGCTCACATTCCACTTGACTACAGTAGGTGATTAATTGAGCATTGCACTTGCTGATTCTTTATGCCTTTGCTTGACGATTTACCAAGTCCTCTAAAATGTTAACCAGCCTTGTGCTCGTTTCGTGTCAAAACAATGCAAATTACAACGATAGACCAGTCGTACTGGATGAACCATGAGTTCACTTGAACATGTGAGGAATATCTACTCATCTGCAAGACGAGTAACAACAGAATTCCAAGGACGCCAGTCAGTACGCAAGTACAGGTACTTCAAACCCCAAAAAATAGGTGGATTGTTTAAACCAAATAGACTACCTAATAACAGTACACTTTAGGCAGAAAACAGTGGGAAAATGTATTATCATCGGAAATCGTAGGCCAGGTGGCCTGCTGCATTTGATTGGGTAAAATCACGAAAAACCCTACAAATTGCTTCAAGTTGGTTTTGCTCAGCTTTGCGGCTTGGACATTGAGACGCAATGCCCAAGCTGTGTGACCACACAATACATAGGCATTTAGTAGGTGATGTGATGTGTGATGTACAAGTTAGCTTTGTGGCTTGTTATACTTACGGACCATAGCATTAGGTGCGGGCCGCGAAATGCGATGCTTGTGAAGTATCTCTGTGTGTGCGTGCAAAGTGATGAGCTGCATTCGGGGCCATGTACGGACTTAGTAGTCCTGCTGTGAAATGCATACAGGACCTTATTCTCGAAACAACTCCTGTTGGCGGTGCGTGCAGTGCACGCGGTGGGACACCCACGGTTTACTATTACGCAGTAAAGTTGAGATCACTGAGCGGGCAAAGGTCAGCGGCAAACTAAAGACACCAGCGGCAAACAGGATTGGGCGGCTATATATTGGCCCTTTTTGGGGGCGATGGGGGGGCTTGGGGCGGGGCCGT